CTAGCCCCGCCGTCACACAGTGAACCTTTGCCAGTACTGTACAGAGACAATGTGTTTAAGAAAGCTCTTCCAGTCCTGTACAAAGACAAGGTGTTCAAAAATCGCTGCCAATCCTGTGCAAAGACAATGTGTTTACCGTAGAGACATTCTCCTCCGCACTAAAATAATCCATTTAAAGGGCCATTGCAGAAAAAAAGGAGATTAAGTTCTGGGCTTGGTGCGAAAATGCGAAATGAAGGAAAATGCACAACCAGCCTCGAAAGGTCGATAACAGGCCTTAAAACATGGTAAATTGGCTAGTGCGAAAAAAATAACAACTACCCCATAAGCTGGTGCGAACTCTGAAAAAAATGTATTCGCGCCAAGGTGGTGCAAATGGCAATGTCTCTCCGATGAAAACCTCTGCCAATCCTGTGCAAAAACAATGTGTTCATACAAGGACAATGTGGGGGGTTTTGTTAACCTCTGCCAGCTGGCAATTGGTATCCCTTCCGGAACTCCTGCCAGATGATAGTTGGCAGCTCACCCTTTGAGACACCCTAAATTCTGGTCTCCTTGTTTAACATACACTCTGAACCGGAATACATGATAGAAGCTTAAGAGTATTAGCAATCGAACTAAAGAGCTTCAGGGGCTTCTTTGTCTCTCTCCACCATTGCCAATTGGTGGCAGAACAACCCATGCGCTTCTCTAAGCCTCTGTAGAATGTCCACTTGCACAGAACAAATCAACCACCTAAACAAAATACTCAACTCACTGAAACTTGGTCACTGAGACCAAACCAAACAAAGCTCATGGCAGTAAATCCTCACGCTGTGAAAAAGGCGACAGTGGTCGACGGCTGACTGGGTGTCGCCAAATGTGGCCTCCCAGGTCCGTCTGAACCAGTCGGCTGTCGCATTCCCGTTCGGTCCGCTCCGAACCGTTCCATGTCCCCGCGACGTTTGGTCGCTCTTGAGCAGGAACCAAATCATGGATGGAAGCAGCGGCGCTTCTGGAAAAGACGGATCGCAGCAAAGTCGGGAAGGGAGAGTGAAGGGATTGGAATACCAAGATGTGGAGTCTGCGAGGGGGGTGTCATGGATGGAGGATTCCCTGTAGAGAGGATCCTGTTCACGCGCAAGAAACCCCGCAGGCGGTAAAGTGATTTCCGCCCTGGATAGATGGGCACTTTGTAAAGATTCCTCCTGCCCCTCATTCCCCCAGCCGCCGGTCCGGCACCCCCAGTCCCCCCCCCAGCCCCGTCCCCCCAGTCTGGTTGAGCCTCCCCTTGACTCATCACTATCAGAAAGGCCACCCTCTCCTCCGTCAGGGTGGGGTCTTCCCCATCGCTGTAGGGGGGGAAGTGAATGTTCACTGTGGTAGGCCAATCCTCTTGACTCCTCTGCGGGCTGTACGGCACTATGTGGTCGTATATCATAGCCACCAGAACCCCCATCCGAATGCTCTGCCTGACCACGCTGCATCCTGCCCCCTGAACAGGAAGGTTGGCCTCTGGAAAAGAGAGAGGGATGCCGAGGAGAGAGGAGAGCCCTGTCTGCAGAATGGCCGCGGGCACACGACACTGGGAAGGGCTCTTGGGAATGAAGTCTGAAGCAGGTGGATTGCCCTCAATATGGTAGCAATGGAGAAGGTTGTCGTTAAACAAATTAAAGGTGTCAAGAAACCACAAAGTCGCGCTGTGCTTGACTGCCTCTTCGCCCCCTTCCTCCTGTAACCACCTTTTCGATTCGTAGTACCCGGCGGGAAGAGAGTAGGGGGCAATCAGTTGCCCGGGCATCGTGAACTGTCGACTTCCATTCCCCGCTTCAACCTGCTTCTTAAAGCTTCGCTTCTCTGCTCTTAAAAGCTCCACTTGTTACTGAACTTCTCAGCTATCGATGTTACTAGACTCAATATTGCCCTGTTTCTACATAAATTCTCGCTTATCGTCGAAACCGCCGGATTGGATGCCGCGCGCTCAGGCAATTTTGCATTTAGCGACAGAATCTTGTGACGGATCGTACCTCACGTCAATTGTATCGAACTGAATCTACAGCCATTTAAAGCGTCCGTCGAAAATATTACTCGGGAGGTCGTGTTAGGGCGAAAGTTCATGTACATATCGACTCAAAAGATCGCTGCAAATATCCAACCGAGGCTCAAGGCGTAAGTAGAATTAGGATTTTGGACTGACCGTGCAGTTCACTGTTTGCGGACTTGGAAAAACAAGTTAAAACCCTCAACCAGATCTACATTGATCGGGTTGTTCCTCCCGGTGTGAAGTGGAGCCAACCGACCACTACATTGTGGTCAATCTTGAGTTTCTCATTCCCGGTACCGAGAGTCGGTCCTTCGTTCCACGCTTCCGGCCATCGTGGACCGCGTGGGTCAAGAGGCAAGTTCAGTATCACATCGTAGATTAGTTTGCTCTTCAATTGTTAGCAAGAAGGCATTACCTGCATCTGTTTCAGGCATAAGATGTTCTGCGGGCCGGGCAATAAGTATAGGTTATCCCACGAGTGCGAGAGAATATCGAAGTTTCGCGTCGAACGAGAGCGGATATTCCACGAGGGCCTCCGAGGCCCGAGTGGAATATGAAGCTCGAGTTTGACGTGAAATCTTCGATATGCTCGAGCACGAGTAAGGGTAACCGACTTATCTCACGACCGGACTCCGATGCATCGTCGAACCTGGTAAGGGTCTCGCATTTATTCCACCGCTGAGCATTGAATAAAAATATATATTCAACGCCTGGGTCGCCAACAAGATTCGACGCCGAAACTTTACTGATACTCAACGCCGAAATGGCTGAGCGCAAAAACCGGTCGTGGGATAAATCCTCCTCATCGCCTCTGCCAGCCACTGTACACAGTACAGTGTACTGCCAGTGCTAGCAAACTTGAACTCCTTGCTCATAGGGCATTCGCACCTACCGGAATTCGGCCGATTTTCTCTTTTCTTGCAGGCTTCTTGCCGATTTTCGCCGATTCTTGTCAGTCCGGCAGCAAGAAAATTCACAGGATACTTTTTCTTGTGGCGGCTGTTCTTGCGTCTCTTGTGGTTCGCATATCGTGTTGATTTCATAGGCTATAGGGAGGGTGTACAGCCAGATGTACAGTTTGAAAACATGAAGATAACGAAGTACAGTGAATATTGCAGGCTTAGCTACCTCTGGGAGGGGCATCCCCTGCAAAGCCTGCACTGAAGCAAGCAGATCGCTAGATCTGGGAACTAACTTGGCAGGAAGGGCGCCATGGTGGATCTAACGCCTCCAACCGCTCAAGTTTCAGCTGCTCCAGCTGCAGCACCTGCTCCAGTAGCAACAGAAGCAGCTGTAAAGCGATCAAAGAATGAACCCACTGCAACATGGACGGTCGGTATTATAGATAATCTCATTGGTGAGTGGGGCGCCGAGTACATGAGGATCAATCAGGGTAACTTGGGCAAGCATAGCTGGAAAATAGTCACAGAAGGGATCAATGCTAGGCTACCAGAAGGCCTGATCCACTATACAGAGCAGCAGTGCAGGACCAAGATAGATGGGCTCAAATCCAGATACAAGGCCGAGCACAATAAGAAGACGAGCACCGGCAATGTCAATTCCACGTGGTATCACTTTGAGAGGCTTGCTTCTTTCATGTCCAGGGTGCCCAAGGTCAATGGCATTCCCAATGCAAGGGACAGCAGTGGAGGGGCAGGCACAAAAGCCAATGGTGTCTTCAGCGAGGATGATACGGTTGAGCACGTAGATCTGGAGGAGGAGAAAGCTGCAGAATCGAACACCACCCCTGAGAAAAATGAGGAGCAAGAAGAAACCCCGGAGAAAGCCCCAAGCGTCGAGAAGAAGCCTGTTTTCAGTCCCCACACGCAGTTGCTCAAAACAGAGGCGGGCATCAATGGGAACAAGATCAAAAGAAAGAGGGACAGCGCTGGGGACATAGCGCAGAGCATGGATAAGTTTACTGAGGTGTATGCAAGCATGGGGATGAACATGTTGCAGCTCCAGAGAGACATTGCAAAAGATAAAGCAGATCGGGACATCAAGCTCGCAGAGCTGGAGATGAAGTACAGGCAGCAGCAGTCTGGCAATGGCAATGCTTAATGAGGTGGGTTTTCTGACCCCATCTGTG